TAAAAAGAGCTGATTGAATGAGTGCTTGTCCTATCAATGCTACTTTGGTATCAGCTTCCTTTCCACTAACCATCATTTTCAGAAGTAACTTCAAACCCTCTGGAACATAGCTGAGGTTTTTCTCAATGGATTTCACATCGAACACACTAGATAGCCAAGCTTCGATAATTCTATAAGCTTTAAATCACTCTTGATTGGTTTGGCAGTGGTTTGTATGACTGCTAGTATCTCATTTTTGGCATTCTAATGCATCGGACGATGATTAAACTCTTGCAAGATGTACCAAACTATGTTTGTGAATGTTACTATGTTTGCAATTTCTATCAGTGATAAGAATTTATTTGCCAAAATGCTCTTGTAATTTATTTTTCATATGAATAGAACCATAATAGTGTGAACAGAATTCTCTCATTTTCTGTACCAGATCAGAAATTGTGATGTGTTTGTCATTATTCTGTTTCAAAAATTCCATAACTGTAATGAAAGCTGCTATTTTCTTTACATCTGCAGGTCTTCCAGGGGTTCTTTTACTTTACAGTTGGGTTTTATATGCCTTTGGGAGTAGTCTATTTGTTTTAAAATTCACACTGCATGGTTAATGGTATTTGGCATCTGCGGCCTGAGATTGTTCACAAGTGCTAGTCTCGCTTTCACTTGGTTCACCCATCTATCTTCTTTTCCCCACCTCAGACAATGCAATTCAGTTGTTTTTTGAAATTCAGCTGTCCTGACAGCAAATGGCTTATGGATAATTCTAATGCATCAGAAACCAGGGCAGGTTGGCCACAAAACCAGCAGTGTTTTTCAAAACTAAAACTTTCCATTTCTGATCTTAGGGGGTTTAAACTTTCTTCAGTTTGATCTTTTTTTTAGTACTTGCAATAGAAAGTTTGTTGCAGTAGCATTTTTGGCCCACGGACATGCTAATTTGCTGACCATGTTCTTTACGTGCAGTTGTGATGCTTCAGCAACCTGTTTCTGTTAACTGTACAGCTTCACATTCTTCGATGAATGTTGTTTCACTGAAAACACATGTATCCATTTCTGCAAAAGAAATAATAGTGATCATGAAATTGATATGATATTTAAATTAACATAACTTTATGCAAAATCTTTTTGAAAGACACAGGCAATTTAGTTGTAAAACATAATAAACCTCATTATCAATAAATACAAAAACAATTCACTTTTCCTACTGAATTATAATAATATGCCTTAGGAACAGTTTGTCTATTAGATTATGGCACATATAAGCATCTGTAGGTACTAAGTTACAATTTACCAATGTTTATTTTATAGGCTAGACATACTGTTTTGTTCATGTAATAATAATATTGTAGTTTTCACCATGAAAATCATCTTTCACAGCATTATAGATTTGTAACACATTAAAACTATCATTTAATGTAGTTTAAATTCATGCTACTAGGCCTATGCTGAAGAAAACTTAACATTTAGGATGTGCTCAAAATTGGCACAGTCCTAACGTTAGACACACTCCACTCTATGATAGACATTTATTTTCCAATGATAAGTTTTAGGAAGCCTTCAGATTTATCAGACATTTTTAAATTGTCCAGGAAAAACAATGGACCATGTATGAAGGAATCAGGCTAATTAACGAAAAGGCAATTAAGATGTCATGAAGTTTAATGTTAATTGACCAAGGACTAATGTTGTTAGGTTTAATGTCAGCCTGTTGTTAGACTAACAATGGATTCATGTACAATAAGTTTTCTGTTTCTTCAAAATTTGAGTTAAAATATCTGGCATAATTTTAGAAAAACAATAAAGCTATCATGATGTTATAGCAAATGTAAATTTTGTAAATACTTACTATTTAAATAATCATGAACTACCAACTCAGCTTCATCAGTTTGTCTTCAACTGGCCTGACAGTAGGTAACGTGCATGTGTATGCATAGCCATAGCAACCATGTGTATGGTAATTGATGAGAACAATTGTAATGTATGTAAAAAAGTGATAATTTTTAGCCTTTTTGAGCAGTTCTACAAT